GAATTAAGCTGCCTCTATGGCACTACCTCCTAGTGGGATCCGAGCCGGGTGTGGCGGCACGCCTAGGGGCAGCTCCGATCGCACCAGCCACCTGCGCCTTCTCCCATCCCGGTCTTCTTGACCATATTTTGACACTGGACTCAGGTGGGGGAGGAAAAGAGAGTGCGACAGATGTTTTGCAAGCCTACTATCCCTATAAACTAAATCACGCGTAAGTCACCGTTCCCGCTCTCACCTTGCTGTAGAGCCCACGGTGGACATCATCTTAATCGACAGCCAAACAAAACAGATATTGAGACCGATCTGACAAGAACTGGAAGTATTTGATCACCACTGCTTAAGGGCCATCCTTCGAGTGAAGTTCACCGACTTCGTCTCAAATGAGACAGTCCGTGCTCGCTGCGACAACATCGCAAGGATAACTCAGGACATCCAAGAAAGGCGACTGAGGTGGTTTGGGCATGTTCTTCGTCGTCCACTTCAGGAGCTCAGTGTTGCTGCCCTCGATCCGGCACCGTTGCCTCATTGGAGGCGTCGAAGAGGGGGTCAGCTCAATACTTGGCTCGACACAGTTCATCAAGACATGAAGGTGGTTCTTGGACCTTCGGTATTCGGTCCCCTTCGGTGGCGAAGAGAGTGGGTTGAGCTGTCCAGATCTGCTGCTGCGGATCGTCACGCGTGGAGAGGTACAGTTCGTGACATCATCGAGGCCGGCTAGATCAGGCATGATCGCAGCCGTATTAAGTACAAGTACAGGAATCCAATATGTTTCTTCCTTGCAGTAATAAACGTGACATACTTTTGATTATCACGATGCGCTAAAAGCCCGTGTGTGATGTCTTCCAAATTTGGGATTTGCCAAGTACACTCAACTAGATCTATTCCTCCATTATTTGTAGGCCCAACCTCCTGGTGCTGGATGAGCCTACGAATCACCTCGATATTGAAACGGTCGGTGCCCTGGGTGAGGCGATAAGAAGTTTCAACGGTGGGTTGGTGTTGGTTTCTCACGACGAACGTCTCATCTCCTCTGTCTGCAACGAGGTCTGGGTCTGCTCCCGGTGCCACTTTGGTCCCCCCGAGGAGGGCCAGGGTAGCCGGGTGAAGGTGCTCAAAGGTGGCCTTGAGGAGTACAAGTCCGCCGTGCATAAACAGCTGGACGAGGTTAAGGCACGGTAACTGGACCCTGCCTGCCTCCTCCCCGCACATCAGCAGCCTTTCATTGCTCGCACCACCCACTGAAAGGAAGTCGGGGGTGCCAACATGTCTCCCACCCAGTTCAACCCTCGCCCATCCAACATTACTTGCTGATTTCGTCTCCTTCTTGGTGGATTTTATCAGTTTCAGGGTTTTCTGTAACCTGCTTCTGCGCTGAGACAAAGCAAACCTGGCATGAGGCGTGTGGACTTGTGTTTTCTTATCTAGCATGTGGATTCGAGGGAGGACTTGCTGTCTCCTCGCCAGCTTGGCATGAACCCGGCCACGAGTCCGTCCACATTCTCCACTGCGGCCTGCCCAGTCATTCTCGCGCTCTCTGATGGACGCATCAGTGAGTGGCAGCTCAGCCTGCCTTAATGCCTCTACGTTCGCATTTGACGATTATCGGACTGATTCGAGTTTAGCCTTGAAAAACATGTTGGTATGGAGGGAAGCCGAGAAAAAATGGGTAGGTTTAGTGTTTTCACCAGTCAGTCCCACCCTTAACTGGCGGTTTTCGAAGCCGTCGAAATCTGGAAAGGATGCACAGGTCTGTAGAACCGAAACAAAGTGAACAATTCTAAAGATGGAACTTGGGGCCTTTCTTCGGCATGTCGAAGACTTTGATCCGGCGGTGTAGTCCTCTGTGGGATTGTATCCGTTGTCGGCACCGCAAGCGGATGGCCCGATTTGGGCCTGGCATCCAGCCATATTCACTTTGCACGGTGACCATTCTCGATGCGCCACGACAAATAACAAGGGGGGGGGGGAGCCAGCACGAGCCGGGTCCAAACCTCGGTCACTCCCCCGCTGACGACCGTGGGCCAATTATAGTCTCTCTTGTCGCTGTCGAGTTAGTGCACCCAAGGTAATGTCGGTCCTCCAGTTAGAAACAACGCACTAGCGAACGCTTGTACATGAGACAGATCCCAGATTGAACTTGGAGGCCAGAAGTGTCTGATGACGCTTGGCCGAAGGTTCGTACTGTTGGGATCAAGGTGGTACACTACCGGGGCTTTTGATGAGATGCGAGCACTGGAAAAAATTGCGTCAACACATTCTATGCGGACGACTAACGAAACCTAGCCTGGTGGTTCTGCGCACGAACCTATAGGATGAGTCGGAAGAGCCCATTAAACGAGTATGTACTACTGCAGTGTATCCGGCACGGGAGTTGGCTTCTGAGTCTGACAGCGCAGGCAGGCCCGCGGTCACCCTAGCAGACGCGAAGACGTCATTGGACAATGGAAGCGCTGGGTGCCCGTGCGTATCTGGTTGGGTGTGTGCCGGACACCTGCGACACACGAATCCTGTTCGCTGGTTAAGCGCAAGGTGGCCCAGAGGTGATGGGGCGGCTGGTGGCACAGCAACCAACCCTCGCACTTTAATTAGGGGAAATCATAAGACTTGAGAGTCGGACACTAAATGACCCGGCGGGAAGTGCGTTATAGTTGGAAAGGGCTCCCGAGATGTCCTATCATTCTGAGCTAGCTCCAGTGAGCTCAGAAGGTGACATGTTACAACCGAATAAGTATATGCCATTGGGGAAGATACATGAGTTCTGGAGGCCGTTAGCAGGGGTGCCGAGCTTGTTTTGGTTGTGAAATCATGCGGTTTCTAAGCGAATGACTTATGCTGACATTTGCGAACTTCAGGTGCATCCACGGTGTCGAATCGAGGGCTAAAAGGATAAAAGTTGGAAACGGCATCCAGGCGGCTCAGTTGTACTGAAAGTAGGTACTCAGAGAAAATAAATACTCGCCTGGAGGGTAGTCTATGGTTGGGGGTTCATTTACACGTACGTACGGGCAACCTCAAATGCAGTTTGCGCTGTTAGTGCTTAGCTGGTCCCCAAAAGCCTCAAAGAGGTAAGAAATAGACCGAGAGCCCACCGACGATGCGAGTTCGGATTACGAGAGCTGTTCCACAGAACCACATGCGGACCACCAGCAGCCTGAAGAAGTGACGGTGCCTTGTGCGTCATCCGGTTCATTCTTTTTCGACACAGGTATTCCAACAGTGGGCCAAAGTTACAAAGATTGACCTCAGCAAGCTTGCTCGCCAGGCGTTCTTCCCTCTGTTGTGTGCTGATCCCGCAACCGACGCTAACCTGAAACCTCCCCCACTTGTTCGTCTTGTAAGCACAGTAAAAGGGGGTGCATGAGAATATATTCACAATATGGCATTGGTATCTGATAATATGATCAAGGAAAAAAACAAGAGAAAAGTAATCCGCATAAAAATAGCAGTAAGGATATGAAAAGTAGAAAAATGACGTCGTTACAGTCCAACATGGAGGTGGCAGTGAAGGTGGGCAAGGGGCGGGACGGGGGGGGGGAGGGGACATGCGCGCCACAGCGTCAGGCTGAGTGCTGTTTATGCTGAAAGCATGGTACTCATGAACGAAAGAATTGCGGGCGTGACAGTACAGCATGCATCATCGGTTTTCTTAAGGGAATGGGGAAAGCCGCCAGGCAACAGGGGAGGTATGTCGGGATGTTTTTTGTCATTTTGACGGAACTCACAGTCCGTGAGTGTCTTTCCACTTCTCCTCGTCCTCTAACTTTGCCTCTGGGCGCATCTGGTTTCGAAGGCCTCCAAGGATGTTTGCGGTTGCCTATAACGTTAGAAAGCCGGTACTTGTTTGACACGTTTGAATATCAGAAGAGAAATTCGTCAGCAGAGGTAGCCAAAGATGACAAAAGTTTCTGTGGATAATTCAGCTGCGAACTAAGACACCGACTAAGCGTTCCGTTAGTCGTATTGTGTAAAACGACCAACGACACCATTATTTGCGCAAGTGTCTACGCCACAGTTTGAGAGTTAAATGCTGCATACAAACCAAGACAATATGACCTTCCAAGAGTGCCACCATTCCTTAACCAGATTATCCACAATAGCGACAGAGAGTTCAACGAGAGGTCACAAGAATCGGAGATGTCGCTACGTCCTTTTCTTCCGGAAAAACGCTATCGGCCAGGCAGGCTAAAGATGAAAGTCATCGAACGGAAGGACTCCGAGTGGTACAACTGGTGATAGGGGAAGAATTTTAGTTGGTTTCCTAGTAAAGATGGACAATGTAGGGAGCAACAAACTGCGTCGAACATTCGTGGTCAGTCTAAAGAAAATGATTCAAATTGTCGGTGTCATAAACTGACAAAGCCCCAAAACAACACAAGTCTTTGCGAGAGTGAGAAACCCTGCACTAACTATAGTTGCTTAGTGGAAGAATGAGACAGCGCAACGAAACAGTTGGTCAAAATTCCCAACGGATCCAGTGCCCAGTTATGCTAGGAGAGAATATGACCGAATCGACTAGATTGCATCTGTCCGGTTTCCAATACCGTGGGTGCTTGTCACAACGAGTGGACAATTAACTTTCCATTGGGTGATTTAGGGCTTAAGAAATTCGTTGTGACGGCGGCGTAAATAACTTTTAGGACGCCGACTGCCAGTGCTGATTTTCCAATCAATTGTGACACGAGTGAGGCTGACTTAGTGTGAAAACACCGTATTGATAACATTGGGGGCCGAATATGGATCAGCATCAGTCAAGAACTGATTTGAGGGATGGAGAGCGAACTTACCTCGCAGCCGGCAACCAGGGGCGTAACCATGGCAGGTGGGATTTGACGCAGTACATCGCCCAGCGCACCCACTGAGCCCTTATTTAGAGGATCCACAGTGCCGACGGGACCCTGCATCACCCCGCGAAAGTCACTGGTAATCAGATTGACGCCACGGACGACAGCGTGAACTGCGTTGCTCAGTCCCTCGCGGAGATCGGCCGGTTGCCGAAGACGGGCCTGACGGTGGCGAATCGACGGTCCTGGCGTGAGGATATCATAGGCGGTCTACGGGTGTAAAAAGTGAACGACTGGATACTCAGGATGCGAGGAGATAGCAGAAAAGCAAATACAAAAAAGGCTAGTGGTACTATCGAATTTATGTGCCTGGGGTTAGTAGTGGTCAATTTTATGAAGTGGGTACTCAAATACTTCGGGGTGAGGCTGCCGCCATATAGATAGAGCGAGGATGACATTGGTGAATCAATGCTACTCGCGGGGCTTTCACAATCAGTAAAAGGTACCATCGAACCCCAAGCGATAACTTCATCACCAAAAAATTCTCGTGTACCGAACATCCGTTTAATCAGTTCTACTATACGGTTCCGAACGTTGGACCGTGCACGCGGAAGACAAAAGAGAACTCGGGCGTTTGGTTGTCATTGTCTGATAACCATCCGAGTCAGGTACACTGACTCGGTTTTGAAGGAGACAATCCTCACTCGTTGCGACATAGCGCGGATATCAAAAGCCGCTGAGGCGGCTTGAGCACTGTCTTAGGCCACTGGTGGGTCAACTGTTGCCTCCTCGACTCAGCGCCGTCAATCACTTAGAGGCGCCGAAGAAGTCAATACAAAACCTGAAGTCAGTCCATCGAGTCATTTATGAGGTTCTTGAAGCCTTGGTATTCAGTCTTCATCGTTGGAGGGAATCGGCCCAGGTCTTTGGATTTTCCGTGGCAATTAATTACGCAAGAAGAGGTACAACCAGCTAGAACAAGCGAGGTTGCAGCTATGCAAAGTAAAAGTTAAGATAGGATTTATGCCCTAAGGTTATATTCATGAAAAATCGCAGGGTATATTTGACACCCCGGTTAGATGGTAGTAGGTAGCCCTCCCGGTACCGAAAACTTCCAGCTACCTGACTTACGGGACCGGTGGTAACAGGGGCTATACGGGTGGGGCAAATGAGTGGAGGCGTAAATGGCGCTTGTAGGGAATGCCTGGAATTGACGATCCTGATAAAGTGGAAGCCTAATTTAACTAAGGTGAAAAATGCGACGAAGGTGAACACTTCGAGTTTGACTGACGTATGAGACGCCTTGTTGTTGTAGTCCGAACCCAAGAGGTAGTAGGTGCGCGATGTGGTAGGTGAAGTGCGCCCAGTTCAAACCCAGCAATGTCGAAGCGCCCGGGG